ATATATATATATATATATATATATATATATATATAATCGTCTGAAAGGATATAAGGAGGCCCACCTAAGCGAGCCGATGATTATATATATTAACCAAAAGTCGTTGTACTCCGTAATCAGTGCGGAGGATGAAACATACACAAAGTCACCAACCCAAACTATCCGAGAAACCTATTCTGTGATATCCTCGCCAATACGAGACATCCAACCCCCAAACATACCCAAGCACTTACTTCAAGCACCCCCTCAGCTTCCACCCAACCAGTAGCTTCTGAACTTCCACTTCCACACGCCATACAAAACAACAGCTCTCCCACCTCCCATCATCTCCACGCTCTAAAACCTCTCAGGTGATCCAGAGACAAACAGCCCAGCACTCCTATCTACCGCCACCTCGATCTACGACGGAAGCAAAAATGAAGAAAAGCAGAGACGGGCTAGATTCTCGCTTATGGGGGTAAGTGGTATGTATGTGTGTACCTATGTATATTGGTGCTGGGATTCTCAGCCGAGGTGGTAGGTATGCATGTAGCAAGGCTGGCTGGCTTACCGAGACAGAAGCGTGCTTCCCCCACGACAAAGAAGAAAAAGAGCACCGGGGTATCTCACATTATTTGTTTTGTCTTGCCGCTTTCTTGATATGTTTGAAGATATGCAGGCCTAAGACTTAGCCGCAATGACCTGTAGCGATCGATAGTAGCCGTGGGGGGAAGGGAGGGTGGGGTTGGGGTGGGGGTGCTGTAGTGTGTTTTTGTTCATCTTTCGGTTGATGAATCCCAAGCCGTTAATTCTAGATCGAAAACGAAATGAGTGGATGATTCTGGCCTTCTCTCCCAAATCCCTTGAGTTCGTCTAAGCTGGGGAGCGGAAAAGTACTTCAAAGAGGACCGACAACCGGTACTTCGTAGAAGAAGGAGGCTCTGCTGATACCTATGCATGATCAATAATGTTATGGGAACGAGAACAAAGTATCAGTAAGATCATGTTACTGTGCTGCTGCTGTAATCTCTGCATTGCCGGGTCTGTTAACCGGGGGTGACGAATGTTGCTTGCAATGCATCGCCTTACTACCTATGTCACGGAAATTTCTGACAGAGAGGGTGAAGGAAGCTGCATCCATTATAAAATCCTCGTATTGGACCTTCAGTGTGGAAACTGTAATGCAGTCTTAGGATCGGAGGGCGTGCTGCAGAGATTCCCGTACCCAATTTCGCCTCAAGAGTTCTTGTCTCCTCCCATTCTCAGAATGTAATAGACCGGAAGAAGAAGAAAAACGTGCAAAACATATGAATCTCACGGCTCTAGAAGATCCATCGTGTCCGATATAGACACGTGGCAGGTTTTGGATATGATCAAGATCACTTCTGATGGCTTTAGCCTGAGTATCTGTTATGGATGCAGAAGAAATAGAATGCGCAATATCAGATCCAGCACCAGCCCGAAGGTAAATAAACGGCCGTTGCGATTTGGAGCCATCTGGTAATATGAGCATCTAATCCTCATCAGAAGAATCGATCAGGTCGATGAATTCTTCATCCTGCTCGTCATCTTTCAGCACACCCTCGATGTCGATCTCTTCATACTCGGATTCGACCTCTTCGGCGACTTCTGGGATTTCGATGGTCTCAGCCCATGCGGTCTTCAGATCATTGAATAGACGCCGAATTTTCTCTTGAAGATGTGCCTTCGAAGAAGCCTCCACTGACTTTGCGCTCTCTTTATCGCCATGCAGAGTGTAATTCGCTAGCATCTCCTTGAACTCTTCTTGAATCTGGAGATTGGCTCGGCCAGTTCCCTCATCAAAGTTCGCAGGGAGACCTTCCCACAGCTTCTCGAACGAATTCTTGATGGCCCGAGAGCTCTGCTCGTACATAAGACGACCATTCTTCTGAACGAAGAGGACGTGTCTTTGCTGATTTCTCTTGAAGTGGCCGGGTCCTATGAGAGAAGGTAAGTCAGAGAACTGTCTGGAAAATGCAGATCAGAAGACGACTTACCAGAATTCTCGCCGCATTTGTCAAAGGTTGGTTTCCAGAGCCTCTGGATCTCTGGCTGGACTAATCTATGCGAATCTCGAGTGACCTTCTGAATATCCTCGTCGAAGATAACACGCGAGATCTTTTGAATAGTCACCATGCTCCTGGCCGACGACTCCTTCCATTGCTGAACGGCGTCTCCAAGGGAGGGAAGGATTTTGCCTACGGAAGTCGATACATTGACGATAAAGCTTTGGATAAGTAGGCTGATCTTGTCATCGTAAAACGTGCGCTGAGCTGGAAGCTTGGTGTGCAAAGTTCGGTCCCAATCTTTGGTAAGAGGCTGCAAGTAGATACCAGCCCTGTTTCGCATTAGCGATTGTCCCGAACTTTCAGTTCTAATATCAGAATTTAACACTTACAATTTATCAATCCAATTGTGCTCGATACCTTTGACGGTCTTCCAAATACCCTGTCCGCGATTGCATGCTCTGTGCGTGCTCCAATGCATCGGACGCTGGGCCCAACTCTTGACGGTCTGTTCGGCCTGACCCCCAGCGATGAGCTCGACCTTGACCATCTGAGAGAAAAGGCCCTCCTCGACGGTCGATTTGCATTTCTGGACAATCTGGGAGTTGACCTTTGATGTTTCCTGGCCCACTTGTCAGCATGCGCTGAAATATCATCATATAAAACAAGAAAACAAGACATACCTTCTGCAAACCTTGAAAGTGCTGTTCGAAGCATTCGTCGAGGTTCTTACGCTCCGAGTTAGAAATTTTAAATCCCAGAGAGTTATCTGATAGCCAATTGACCATCGACAGCTCAAGGCTGACAATATCGTCGAGGAACGAGAGAGCGTTTCGGTTTCGAGTGGGCAAGGTCGTCTCCGTGAGCCAGTTTTGTAAAGCCGGGATGCCAGTATCGCTGATTTTTGGGAAACCACTCATTGCTTTTTCTCCTCTCAAAAGAGGCCCGAAGGCCCACGCTGACACACAGAAAACTTGCAGTTGCTTGCCGGTGCCTTTGCGGCTGAGATATTTGGATGCGCCCTCGAAATCGCGTCGAATCTCTGTTGCCGACACGTCGTTCCGATTCTTGACGCATACAGCGAGCTTCCGGGATTCGCTGTCTTTCAGAGCTTGTTCCAAAGCACTAATCTTCTCAGTAGCTGAATGAAGGGAACTGCCAGCTTTATCGGCGCCGATCTTTGCTTCCTTGATTTTAGCTACTAGTTCAAGGTACTCCGTCTGCCTTGCATTTTGCTTGGGCGTACGAGTCTCTGGAGTCAAGTCAGTAAGAAGTACGGCACGGTTTCGGAGCATCAGGCAGTACCTGGGTGTTCTCCATCTTCCCGCTTGCGCTTCTTGGGACTATCTCCAGAACCAGACTTCTTAAAGACAATTACCTCCATCTGCTTTTTCAAATCTTTAGCCAGCTTCTCATATGCGCCCTGCGATTTCTTCTTTTCAGCGCAGTGAATTCGGAGCCGGTCGAGCTTATTGTTGAGGCTAGCCTGCTCCTCGAACTCAACTTTGAGCATAGCTTCGACATTCTTGTGGTTCTTAATGTAGCGGGCCATACTAAGTGAGGAGTCGGTCTTTGAGACGATGAAGCATAGAGAGTCAGCAGAAAATTTGCCATCCAGCTGGAGAGATCGCTGAGCAACTTCGCCGAGCAGATCCTGGGCCTGCGAAGATTAGTCAATTCGAGAACACCAAAGCAAAAAAAAAAAAAGATAAAAAAAACTAACTAACCGGCTTGTCGCTGGCCGCACGGGTAGTTGGTGCCACAACGCAGTTGACAGACAAGTTCTTTTGGTAGGTCTCCGCTATTGCGCCTCGAGCAGCATTTGTGTCCATCGAGCCTGGCAAGTCCACAAGAACGATACCGTGCTGTAGGATAGTTGACTTGACCCAGAGTTGAACCAGTTTCACCAATGGCCAATGCGCAAATGACTGCTTACCACCTCCCTGCTTCGACTTGCTGGAGTCAATGTAGGGCTTGATGGCGGCAGCAAACTCGTCAAGGGTTTCCTTGACAATGTGTCTGGTTTTACCCAAGACGTCTTTGATATTAGGATGATTCAGAAGATTCGAAACCGTGTAACTCTTCAGATCGGCAATAGTTTCGATATGTGGGTAAACACATGTCAATTTTTGAAAAGCAGTCTTGATGCGCATGTCTCGTTCAAGATCTGGCTCACCGTCCTCTCCATCCTTGTTCAGGGCCTGGTCGCTGATGTCTTGAAACAGTTTTTCCAATTCGATCTTCCAATCCTCGGTTGAGATTCGCTCAATTTTGGCACGATAAGCTTCCATTGGTTCAGTATTTGACGAGATTTCTACGCAGACAGCTGTGCACGCCTTTTCGTCGTCGGCAGGAAGCAAATCTTCTTCCTCAAGCAGAGCGTTGATCATGCTGGACTTACCAGCTCCTGTAGTTCCTAGAAATCCAATCAGTACTCTAGTGTGTCCTCGATCCCCCGTGATCTGCTCTACAGGTGGTGTCAGTGAGTGTACTAAGTGAAGATAGAACAGGCTAATTCCAAACCAGGAACGATTGCATGAATGTACTTACTGATACGCTCAATCCACTTCTTCGCACTGGGAACATCTGCGGTGTGGAGTCCTAGGGCTGTATTCAGATCGCCGAGGAAACTGAGGCCGGCCTTGACGGCCTTCTCTCGAGTCTCAACTTGAATCTGTAGGCCAAACTCTGCAGATTGCTGCCAGGTGTAGACTGGCTTTGATGGAGGAGACGCTTGATTTGCGCCATCAATTCTGATCTCTGGATCGAAAATAGCAGGGTCAGGCTTAGGTATAATTGGTTAAGAATGAGGCTCTGGAGAAGGAGAGGGGGAAATACTGTTCTCTGGGCTGCGAGTCAATCTCTCGACCTTGACCTCTTCTTCAGCGGCACTCATATTGGCGATTGTAGTTCGACTCGCTGGTAGCTATGCATGTTTTAGTAGGTGGAGTGCATTGAAGATTTGTTCAAGCCAGAGCTATGAAAATGCTGAGCAAAATTAAGATTGAGAATTACGCAAACATGGACGATGGTGAATGCGTGAATCCAGCGCAATATTTTTCAAGAGAGGAGTTATCTGATGTGGTATCCTGACTGGTCATGAAAAAAGGTAAAGAGCACTTACCAAATAGTCTGATTGATTTTCGAAAAGCAGAGAGGTTCAAGAGACCAAGTTTGGTTCTGAGCGCAAGGTGTGTGACGTTGCAAATTTACTGGAGATGAAAACAAATCGATTGCTCAGAGTAGCAAGTACAGCGTCGCTGAAATCAATACACTGCTCCTCAATGGATAGCTTAAAGAGCTGCGAGAGACTGCATGCGATGCGTGTTGAGTGCGAATGAAAAGTTTTCGCAGGGGAAGGGGAAATGAGGGTCAAAAGATGGTTGTTGTTTACAAGAAGTAGGCGAGGCGAAGGTGGATGGATGGTGGAGTATTTGTACCTTGCAGACTTGCTCGGAAGAGAAAAAGTAGGTTGCAGGCGGAGAGAACTAGCAACAAAAAGAACTCGTTCGAAAGGGAAAATGAAACTAGGCTTCTAGCATGAACTACGCCTTGATGATTAGCAACAAAGTGGAAGAGGGGCTACTCGGAGTTGAGCGCACGAATAACTGGCAACAAGGGGTCGAATTCAAGGCTTAGCGCGAAAGAAAGACTCCGAAAACGCTGAAAGTTAAGCGGGAAGCGTGATTTCCAATCGTCAGATAAGGAAAGAGTTACCATTAGAGCTGCGATACCAGAAAGTGTACACTGATATCCAGGAAGATATTGAACATAATTGATGCCTCGAGTTCCCCTATTCCCTTAATTATCTGCTTTAAGCTGGCAATAGACGCCCCAAAGTACTAACATGAAATTTAAACAATGGCAGTAGACGCCGTACCCGGCCCATAACAACTGCCTACTCAAAACCCTTAAAATAGACTCGAGAAAGCGCCAAAGCAATGGCAAATTAGACAAGAGCCCGAAGCTCTTTTCCCTTACAAGTCTTCCTTTCACAAGGAGCCTTTGAAATCGCAGTAAAGTATCGCCATCACCGGCAACCCCGCTAAGTGCGAATTGCAGCTCTTGAAAGGTAGGTACCATAGCCTGGAGAACAAGGTATCTGCAAAAGACGACCTGGAGCTACGGGACGGCCTTGGTTAGATCATCTTCGATCTAGGTAAGGACTTTGCACATCGATATGCAGACATTCTTTTCGCTAAACAAAGAGAGTGGCAATCTTCAAATATATATATATATATATATATCAATGTTAAGGTACGGCAATTACTTCTGTCCAGCGATATCTAGTGCTCTATGTAATTAGATCCTGTAGCTCTGGGAACTACCTTAGAGCGCATTTTCTTTCGCCAAAATATCTTTTGAGGGTTGATGTAGCCCATGGTACTCGCTGAGCAGTATCGCATAGCTCTTTGGCCTAATATGTACTTGCTCAGTGATAGGTAGACCTCAAGACATGCAAAGTGCAGAATGCATATGGGCAAGCAAATCATTGTTCTTAAAACACATCCCTCAAACCTTGAAATCGTGCCTTGACTCTGAGGAATAAAACCCATGGAAGATTTGGTGATGCAGTCCTGTTCGCGCGATTATGGCTGATGCAAGCCCTCAAAATCATAGCAGGACCGAAAATGCAAAATCAAGAAAATGAGAACATAAAGAAACCGACAATGGAAACCCCAATTTCATTTCCCGGACCTGTGTAAATATACAATTCGAAAATTCCCAGCGCTGTCCACGACCTCTCTTCAAGGTCCATGGTGAGAATAGATTTGTCGTGTCTTGAGATGTACGGGAGTCTCGCCCTTAGGTGTGTCCGGGATGACCTTCTCAATTTTCTGTTTCCAACATCAGCATGATTCGCCTGTGATGCCCGTGGCTGGAGGTTCTTACTAGGTTATCAAAAACACATTTGTTGAGCTTCCATTCTTGGGGTCGGCATTGCCATAGCTGCTGGTTGTTATCGTCAAGGCAGGTCCAGTGCTTGCGGAACTCTGCAAGACAGTGCTTATTCACGTCCTCAATCCTGGAGGAAAGGATTAGCACTAAGTCTCCCCGTACCGCGCCTGTCCTTGTCCTGACTACGGTCATTGCCGCGTCTTCCCCTTATTGATCTCCCCGAATGATCAATCCAGCACAATGCTACCGTAGCTATGATATGCCCTCGTAGAATCGGCACTTACACACTTGTGGCACATCTAGTGACCCTTCGGCCCTCCTTCAGACAGTCAATCTCGCCCTTCCCCGGACTTTCGGTCTTGCACTGCATGAAATCATCGTTGTACGGCCTGCATCTCGCTCCAATAAAGAAGCTGGCAGATAGCAACGGGGCCGAGCTGCTCCCAACCTCTGTGACGGGTGGAATCTCAGCGGGGAGAGGAGTGGTATCAATGAGGGTGGTTTGATTGAATCTGTAATTGCGATTGATCAGCTACGGATTATGGCGACTGAACAGGTTATATTGATAGATCATACCTTGCTGGTCTTCCCGACATCTTGACAGTGCTTTGGGAGTATCAAGACAGATTTGGGAGACTCAATTGGGGAATCTTTGGAACTGGTAAGTTTGGGATGTAGTGAGGTTCTATCTTGGCTTCGGAAGTGACGCTTGGACCAGTTGCAGCGGAAAATCTCGCGACTGGGCATGAAAGAAGCTTCAGCTTCAACCAAACAAAACTAACCGCGACAGCTGCAATCATCCGCGCCTCCACAACCATCTGCTTCCACCTCGACCTCAATTTCGGCCTCTTCAACTCGCAGTCGTAGTCGCAGGCTCTCTGAGATTATTGCCTTCCTCAGCTCTCCAGAATATATCCTCTCTGAGCGGCGACTGTCCCTTGTCTTCCGACCCTCTCGCTCTTCCACTTCTCCACGCGCTTCGCCCGAGCTAGGTACATATTGCGCGACAATAGATTTCGCATAGCTACGGAGCTGCATCCTCGGGGTACTCGAGGTCCTGGCAGGTGAGCAAAAACTACGCTGTACGAACAAATGTTCGGCGCAGCTCTAAACAAGCCGACTGGGGGAGGAGGGCTATTCGGCAGCCTGAACACAAACAACCAGCAAAACCAGCAACAAGGCAGCAGTCTATTCGGTGGGCTGGGGCAGACTACACAGCAGAACCAGAACCAAGGTGGTGGATTATTCGGGCAAAGCACGCAGAACCAGAATCAAGGTGGTGGATTATTCGGGCAAAGCACGCAGAACCAGAATCAAGGTGGTGGATTGTTCGGGCAAAGCACACAGAATCAGCCCCAAACGCAACAAGGAGGAGGACTCTTTGGAGGACTGGGCCAAACTCAAGCACAGAACCAGCAGCCACAGCAGAATGGCGGTCTTTTTAATCTTGGGCAGAGCCAGAACAACCAACAACAACAGCAGCAACAACCGAACGGCCTCCAGAATAGTCTCTTCGGACAATCTACCCAGCAAACCCTTCCTCAACTGGGTCAAAGTCAAGCACTATGGCAACCGAACAGTGGCGTAACTCGTGCGTACGGCCAATACACGAGAGTTTACATTAGCTAACATTATGTAGGCGAAAAGGATATCCAAGAGCAGATGAAAACCGTTCTGGAGAAGTGGGACACAGCAAATCCAAATTGCGCCTTCAAGCACTACTTCTACAATAAAGTTGACGATAACATGGCCCCTTATTACCGACCTGCTCCAGACGAGGATCCTAAAGCATGGGAGGAGGCTCTTTCGAAGAAACCTGGTCCTGGCTATATACCGGTATTGTGTGTAGGATTTGCTCAGATGGGTGAGCGGATCGCGCTCCAACAACGGAACCTTTCGAACTTCAACGTCCGCCTCCACGAGATCAACAACTCCCTGACCAAAATGATGCAAGACCACGAGACGAAGACGAGTATTAGAGTGATTGATGCGCGGAGAAAACACATCGTCTTGAAGCAGCGGTGTTTAGCATTGGCGACCAAGGTGCAGGTGTTGAAAAACCGCGGGTATGCGATGGCTGGCGACGAGGAGGATCTGCGGACCAAGCTGTTGGCGTTAGAGAGGAATGTCACGGATCCGGGACTTGGTGCGAGAGGGGAGGAGATCTGGGCAAGGATGCTAATTGTGCAAGACCGGGCACGTACCTTGAAGGGTGAACTTGAGAAGGCTGGGGCAAATGCACCGGATATCTTGGATGAGAAGCTTAGTGAGCATGCCAAGAGGGTATGTTCTCAAATATGAAAAGCCTGCGGATTAACGCTAATCGATCATAGTTATTGGAGGACTACAACACCCAATTGAGACATCTGAAGTCAGAGTTGGATAGGGTCAATGCGGAGTTTGTGGAGTGGCTAAAAGAGCAAGGAACGACAGCGCTCAAAGTCAAGGAGACTACGAAAAATGATACCCATGGCCGATCCCTACAGTTCCTTTAGCGGCAGGTAGGAGGGATGCAAGTACAGCATGTATGATACCACGATGTTTTGAGAAGAATGCATCGAGACGGACGGGTACTTGACTTTGGGGACGTCAAGTGAACTGGGCTGGATACACTCAAAAAGTGAAATAATACTTCAAAAGAACCAGATCTGAGTGTTACACAACTCAACAGCTTCAACTCTGAATCAATGGGCAGGTATCGATCGGTCTCTAGCTGATTGATGTAAGATGGGCCTTCCTGCTAAGGTCAGTTTGTGTCACCTACGTAAGTGACTCATCTCTATGAGCTCCAAACCTGTGACGTCCTTTCATCTCAACATCAACAAATCTTCAACATCAACATCATCACCAAACCATACCACCACCGCCAGAAATGTCTACCCACGAACCAAAGGGCGACCCCGTCACCGGCCCGTCGTCCCTCCTCCCGGACCCATCCCTCACCCTCAAAGGCCGGCACTCCATCTGCCTCGTCCCTCTCTCCCCATCCCACACTGAAGGTCTCTACGCCTCCCTCGGCGGCCCAGAAAACGACGGCTTATACACCTACATGCCGAACGAGCCCATCCACTCGCTCGACGCCATGGCGAAACTGGTCGAGACCCTGATCGGCAGTCCCGTATTCTTCCCTTATGCTGTTCTTTCCACGGCTAAGTATACGGCCGTGGGTATCATCTGCTACATGAACATGGTGCCCGAGCATCGCTGCATCGAGATTGGGCACGTGTTGTTCGGGGCCATGTTGCAGCGGACGCCGGCGAGTACGGAGTGCAACTTCTTGTTGATGAGGTATGCGTTTGAGGAGCTGGGGTATCGGAGAGGTACGTTGAAGTTGGATTCTGGCCCCTTGTTTTGTCTGCTTGTTTTGTTTTGTTTGTTTGTATGCACTTTTGCGGGATTTTTAAAGGGGGATTAGATGCCAAACTCTTGAGGAGATCCCGTGCTGATTTTGGCCGTGGGTGAAGTGGAGTGGAAGGCGAATGATTTCAACGAGCTGAGCAAGAGAGCGGCGCTCAGACTGGGGTTTACGGCTGAGGGGGTGTTTAGGAAGCAGTAAGTCATATTGTGTGTGCTCTTTCTATGGGCGGATGGGATATTCGGGCGGAAGTGCTGCCTACAGAAAGAAGACTGTGCTGATATCTTCGGCAGTCTGGTCGTCAAGGGCAAACGCAGGGATACAGCTTGGTTTAGCTGTATAGATGATGAGTGGCAGGCAGGTGTCGGGAAGGCGTTGAGCGAGTGGCTCGGCAAGAGCAACTTCGATGCCGAGGGGAAGCAGGTGAAGAGGTTGGAGGAGTTCAGGCAGAAAGGAGAGTGTGTGTGAAATGAGAAATGGACCAGCCGGATAGCAGATCGTACGTAAACTCGAAGATTAATATTAATACCCAGTGCGCTCACGGCCTTGTGAACTGCGGGCTCTCTATCAGGGGAAGAGGTAGTGAGTGAGTGAGTGACCAAGAGCTTCTGAGGACGTGCTCTATTCCTATCAATCCCATGAAACGTTTGCTGTGCTCCGGAGGCCATTGGCTCAAGGCTTGATTGGAGTTTTTCCACAACGCTATCGATGCCACTCGATAAAGCAGTAAGTAGATGGAACTGACTGGACTGCCGACCCCTTGATGTATGGAAGTGCCTAGTAAAAACTTAGCAACATCTGCGAAAGACACTTACTTCCAAGGAAATGGCATGAGGAAACAACACGAGATTACCTGCTCTACTTACTCTCTCGTCAAGCTTTGCAGTCGCCTGTTACAAATGCCACTATGACACTCTTATAGAAGCTGTTTTTGATAACTTGAATAAGAAGATTGATAATCAATACTACGATACATGCCTCGGAATCACATGATAGCTACTCTTAAATTTATCAACTAAAGCATTCATTTCTGCACTGCCTCTTGAGAGTATTGCGCAGCAAGCTGAAGCTACGAACCTAGACGGGTTGCAACCTATCTAGCCATGAGGCTAGCCCTGCTCAGAGCCCATGACTCATATGGAGTCGTTCAGAAGCCTAGCCTCTGTGTTTAAAAGCCACGAAAAGCTGTTCGCGAATTAGTGACGGCAAAGATGTGTGATTGTGGTTCAAGCGTAACCACGAGCTCGCTAAACGCCTGAATCAAAACAAACACGACGGACGCGGCGACTTGTTCACCAGTTTAATGTCCTTGTATGGTCCGGTGTTGAGTGTGTCATTGAATGTTTTATGAAGTGGTATAAGGTATGGCTGCCCGAGTCTTGATTATCTCTTATCCTGTCGCGGCGATACAGGGCGGGTAGGTAGGTACCTAGTATAGCATATAAACATGGCTTCACTTATTTGTACCGACGCGTAATAGACAAGCGACAGTAACGCGAGGGAGCAATAATTACTCATCTGGATCGATGGGTTTAGAAGCAGATTATCAAAATAATGAAATCAAAGCTTGAGAGGAAGGACCAAAGAATAAAAGTTTCAATTCCGTAAACAGGACCTCATTCCAGCCACTCACTAGGGTCTTGATTGATGATAGATTTACAATTAATCACATTTGATATTCTCAAGGTCTTCAGTTCGAACTGCGTAGTTTTGTGCTACCTCTCTGAGATTCAGGACGGGATGAGGGACCTCATCATGGGGTAATTAGTACTAGACCGTTAAGACGGTCTCGGCATCTACCCTACCTGCGTAGTGTCTTCTGTACTGAGATTGACGATTGACGGGTTGTAATTAGAAAATAATGTGAAACACACAGAGTAGAAGTAGGCCACTTTGCGTGAGTTCGGTAGACTTTGAAATCCCACGCTCCATCTGTAAGCACTCGGACCGACCCTGGACAACCAATGCACTTGCAGGAAACAGGTACCGAGAGTCATGTAGCCTGCCCGTTTATGCCGAGCTTGAGCACTGCGAGCCAAACGTTCTGCAGTACCCAGAATCAGGACAGCAAGGTCCATCCATCCATCCATAGCGCGTGCTTTCTCGATAGCTTTGGAGAGAGGTATCATTCCGCTGTCGTACACCATACTCATCCTACGCCCATCTCAAAACCTGCCACTACCAGGCTAACATGCCCTACTCCATCCAGTATACAGCTCGGATCTCAAGATATCATACACGCATTCCCCCTACCATACAGGCCATGTGTGCATCGTAAGCCCCCCCCTCTTAGACAAGCTTGGTAATTGCATCGATCGCGAATGGTGCTACGGAACTCCCAGTTAGCACAACTTCGCGGCGAACCAATACGCGGAATTCCATGACATACACAAGTACAGCATGACGGCCCCGACCAGCACCTGCTGGATGGTAAGGGTGGCTTCGGATTCGGCAGCCTTCAACTCGGCCGGGCTAAGAGCGGGTGGAGCTACAGTGTTGTGTTAGCAGTAGCTTCACATAGACTAGATTCAAACGAGACTCACGTCCTCCGAACATGTTTGCAGATTATTGAGGTGAGATTAGAAGAGCGGATTCTTGGTGGTGAATTGGTGCTGGGGTGCAAAGGAGTCTTGCAGGCTTTACATATCGAATCCTTTTTGATCCCAAGCTTCCCGTGGTTAGAGTTCCTGGTGGCGCCACACGAACCGGCGGTGATCGATAGATAGCGTTAGCGGTGGCGCAGATTTTCTTTTCTACTTATCATGTCACGATAAGGCGCAAGTTCAAAGAAATTTAAAACCCTACGAGACTCCCTTTCCATCCGACGACAAGTTCTAGGTACATATTCAAAAACTCACCATATCTACGTACCTACTATCTACTCGCTTCAATCTTATTACCATGCGGGATTGCTGAGCACTGGATTCTAGAGCAAGTCGCCCGAGCTCCACCATCGAGTAGCTTTCAAAAGATAAACCCCTCTTCCTCTCACCGACTCGATCTTTGAGCTTCAATCAAGGACGGCCAGCTCTTCTCTCTCTACCCAGGGACAATGGCTACCTCAGCTCTTGCTGTTCGAGCCCAGCTTGGACGCGTCGCTGCTCAAGTACGAAGCTCTTCAACATTCCCTTTCCAAGCCACACGACCCTGGATCTGTCGCCGATGTTCGACTACAGCAGCGAGATACGTACCATTTGGTCGACGCACGGTCTATACCAGCACTTCCAAAGATGAGGCGAACAGCCCAGCTACCGCAGAACTCTCAAGGGGCTCTTACCGGCCCCTCGACACCTTCGCGCGCCGCCACATTGGCCCTTCGCCGAGTTCTACGGAGCAGATGCTGAAAGCGCTGGACCCGACAGCCAAGAGCCTGGACGAGTTTGTGAAGCAGGTCCTCCCAAGCGATATCCTGTCGGCGAAGGATCTAGAGATTGACGCTGCAAAGTCTGGAGGAGAGGATGGGTTCACGGAATCGCAATTGCTTGCGAGACTCAAGACCATTGCCTCCGAGAACAAGATTATGCGAAGTTACATTGGGTGTGGATATGCGGGAACGAGAGTGCCAGAGGTCATCAAGAGGAATGTGCTGGAAAACCCAGGATGGTACACGAGCTACACCCCATATCAGCCGGAGATCAGTCAGGGTCGCTTGGAATCGCTGCTGAACTTCCAGACCTTGGTCTGCGACTTGACAGCTCTGCCAATTTCCAATGCTTCTCTGCTGGACGAATCTACGGCGGCCGCAGAGGCTATGACTCTGTCTCTAAATGCTCTACCAGCCTCGAGACAGAAGAGCAAGAACAAGACGTTCTTTGTCAGTCACTTGGTCCACCCTCAAACAAAAGCAGTACTCCAAAGTCGTGCGCAGGGATTCGATATCAAGATTGAGTTTGGTGATGTTCTTGAAAATGGAGCAGCTCGTGTTAAGGAGCTCGGCAAGGACCTTGTTGGAGTTCTTGTCCAATACCCAGATACTGAGGGTGGAGTGGAAGACTTCCAGGGTCTCGCGGACGTCATCCACGAGCAAGGAGCAACCTTCAGTGTTGCTACGGATCTTTTGGCTTTGACAGTTCTGACACCACCTGGAGAATTCGGCGCTGATATCGCTTTCGGAAATGCCCAGCGATTCGGTGTACCTTTTGGCTACGGCGGACCTCATGCCGCTTTCTTCGCTGTTGGCGACAAGTACAAGCGAAAGATCCCTGGACGTCTCATTGGAGTGTCCAAGGACAGGCTGGGAGATAAGGCCATGCGACTTACTCTTCAAACCAGAGAGCAGCACATTCGTCGAGAGAAGGCTACCAGCAATGTTTGCACAGCGCAGGCGTTGCTGGCAAACATGAGCGCATTTTATGCCGTCTACCATGGTCCAAAGGGCCTGAAGAACATTGCTGAGCGAGCCATCAATGGCGCCAGGATTATTGAGGCCGGAGTCAAGTCCTTGGGATTTGAGACTGGGTCCAGAGGCAAGGGGGAGGATGGAAGTGTCCTGTTTGACACGGTTGTGGTGGACGTTGGCTTAGGCAAGGCCGATGCCGTCTTGCAACATGCCGTCAAAGGCCATCATATCAACTTGAGGAAGTTCACTAACAACAGAGTTGGTATCACTATTGACGAGACTGTTGACCTCAAGGACCTTGAGGATATTCTCGCAATCTTCAAAGACTTTGCCAAGTCCAAGAAGGAGATCAGTATTGAGAAGATAATCAAGTCCTTGCCCGGAAGCGGTAAACTCCCGATCCCAGCGCCTTTGAAGCGAACGTCCGAGTATCTCACCCACCCGGTCTTCAACTCCCACCACTCTGAAACCGAGATTCTCCGATACATCAACCACTTGCAATCCAAAGACCTGTCTCTGACCCACTCGATGATTCCACTGGGGTCGTGCACAATGAAGCTCAACGCCACAACAGAGATGGCTCCAGTAACCTGGCCTGAATTTGCCTCCATCCATCCATTCGTACCAATTGATCAAGCCAAAGGCTACAAGGTTATGATTGACGAGTTGGAGACCGATCTGGCTACTGTCACTGGATTTGATGCTGTTTCTCTACAGCCAAACTCTGGTGCGCAAGGTGAATTTACTGGATTGCGTGTTATCCGCAAGTTCCAGGAGCAACAACCTGGAAAGAAGCGTGATATCTGTTTGATCCCAGTCTCTGCCCACGGCACAAATCCAGCCTCTGCAGCCATGGCTGGAATGAGAGTCGTCACCGTCAAGTGCGACACGAAGACTGGAAATCTCGACATGGAAGATCTGAAGGTCAAGTGCGAGAAGTACAGCGAAGAGCTTGGTGCGATTATGATCACCTACCCGAGCACATTTGGTGTTTTCGAGCCAGAAGTCAAGGCTGCCTGTGATCTTGTCCATCAACACGGTGGACAAGTTTACATGGATGGTGCCAACATGAACGCTCAGATCGGTCTCTGCACCCCAGGCGAGATCGGAGCCGATGTTTGCCATCTTAATTTGCACAAGACCTTCTGTATTCCTCACGGAGGTGGAGGTCCAGGTGTCGGTCCAATTGGTGTGAAATCCCACTTGGCCCCCTTCCTTCCAGGTCATCCACTGGTGAAGACCGGTGGTGACCACGGCATCGCTCCCGTTAGCGGTGCCCCATGGGGAAGCGCAAGCATTCTTCCCATCAGTTGGGCATACGTCAAGATGATGGGTGGCCGTGGCTTAACCCACGCTACGAAGATCACACTCTTGAACGCCAACTACATCATGTCCCGCCTACGGCCCTACTATCCCATCCTCTACACCAATGTCAACTCTCGCTGTGCCCACGAGTTCATCCTTGATGTACGGGGCTTCAAGGAGACGTGCGGTATCGAAGCTATCGATATCGCCAAGCGTCTCCAAGATTACGGCTTCCATGCTCCAACCATGAGTTGGCCCGTCGCCAACACACTCATGATCGAGCCTACCGAGTCTGAAAGCAAAGATGAAATGGACCGGTTCATCAACGCTCTGATCTCCATCCGAGCTGAGATTCAAGCTGTGGAAAATGGCACAGTTGCAAGGGAAAGCAACATTCTGAAGAACGCGCCACATTCACAGAAGGACTTGATTGTTGGGGAATGGAACCGCCCTTACACCCGTGAAGAGGCTGCCTATCCCCTGCCGTACCTCAAGGAGAAGAAATTCTGGCCGACCGTGACCAGAGTAGATGATGGTAAGCACTCTTGTTCTCCCCCCTCTTCTCGCCTGTTGTAGACGAAGCTCACAAAATCCCAGCGTTCGGTGACATGAACCTCTTCTGCACCTGTGGTCCCGTCGAACCCGTCGACGTGGAAGGCGACATAACCGGTATCTCAGCGCCTAATCCTACATGACCATATTGCCTAGCCAAGGGGCCAGGTGCAACTTAAAACAGAGCCGCGGTAGCGTGGAAGCAAAACTCGTAGATTTCAACAACGTAAATGCATAGAGCTTAGTGGTGGTTCAGCGGTGATATTTTCTGGTTTCAACATGCATGGATGGATGAAGAAAGCGTAGAGGCGTTTTTTATTTATGATAGGCGACAGCGTGCTGGCTTCAACTGCCATTTGGAAGGGGTGCGGACACATATACATACATATATACAAACACTTGTTTTTTATATCAAGATAAGAGTAGACTGGACTGGACGACTGGACTGAAACGGAACGAAACGAAATGGAATGAATATAAAAATTCATGCTACCCTTCTTCTCTTTTACATCGCCTTTTCAGTGGTGGATGGATGCTATACATTCATACATACAAACCGCAGCGTACCGACCAGCTATGGATAACTCCTGGGCTCTACGTTCTAGGCAAGCACTCAAGCACTCACCCCCCCTCGCATTTTCTTTTTCTTTTTCTCTTCCTTTGTTTTCTCTCGACTCGGAAGACGCGATACCATGCATTTATTGTACTGCATTCATATATATATATATATATATATTTCTGCGATTTCGCTTTCCACGTGATGTTCTTGAACTTGTATCTTTCTTCTTCTCCTCCTCCTTCTTTTTCTTTTCCTTCTTCTTCTTTTCCTTCTGCTTCTTCTTTTCCTTCTTCTGCTATGCTTACCTATCTTCAGCTAGGTATTCCGAGGTATCTATTCATCGCGAGTGTGGTGTCCCTTTTCATCGTGACGGGCCCCTTCCGAGTTTGAGTTTCAGTTCGCATTTGACTGGTTGAGCAAGTGGGAGTGGGAGTGGGAGTGGGAGAAGGAGCAGGAGCGAGGTGGCCAAAAGATAGCTGAGAGGAGCGAGCCGTTTTGATTTTGATTGAACTTCGTGATATGATGGTAACTTCCAAGCTGAATAGTTTACTTACTTAAGTAGATCCTTTGGTCCATGTTTTCTAATATGCTTTGGTTTGGTACCAGTTGATTTGGTGGGCGTGCTGTACTTTATAATACAATAATTTTGGGTCTTCTGTGGTTAAGCGCTATTCGATGCGAGGGTGGAAACAAGCAATATATATGTACATCTGGGTTAACGTGCGCGCTTGAAGGATGCGCGCCAAATGCACTGAAGTCTCTCCGTCAGAAGCACGCGAGTTGCCGCGTGCCTCTCGTCGCTGGCGTGCTTCTAACAAGTACCTCAACCTAGGGATACGATTACCAACCAGCCTGTTCAAAAGTCAGATTCGAAACAAAGATCCAGCTCTACCTCTCAGCTTCTCGGGCCACTTACCATATTAGCAGCGCGGGCACACTTCAGGAGTTCCTATCCATGACCTCGATGCAGGCCCTAACTGCGATCTGGTTCTGAGATTGCGGGATCCAGATGTATCCAACTCTGCCCTTTTCCATCAAGCGATCATTCAGCTCCACGGCCGCCTCGATCAAGTCTCGATTGGCAACCTCTCTGCGTGCTGTGGTGATCCAATTCTGGCTTCTCCACTGATCGATCAAATTAGTATCATTTACTTGATGCAGGAATCCCTGAGGGCATCGATGCACGTGAACTCGTGATCGTCTATCGAGACATGAAATGGGGATGGATGAAAGCTCGTCACTTACCAGGTATTGCCAGTCGGTCATACAGCTGATCACGTACCTGGAGTCCGTGTAGATCTCCACGTTCAAATATGGATCGGTGCCCAACTCGTAGTGCTTCTGCAGAGCTTTTAGAAGTGCGATGATCACGGCTGTAATCACGGCTCGCTTTCTAGTGACCGGAGGTGCGCCGTGGTAGTTGGAGCTTCGTAGGAAGTGATCACATATTTCGGGACTATCGTTTCCGAAGCTACACATAGGAGAATGAGAGTTAGGAAAGTCCTCTCCCATGGCATGTCGGGGGGAATTGGTCTTGAGAGCAAATGCGAACGTCAGGGCATTGGAGCGACGAGGATAGTATCACCCGTATGTCAAGACTGCTGCTGCACCTCCGATGGTAGACGGCGAGCCGTTTCCCGGAACCTGTCCCCGACAGACGCCATCGATGTAGATCTTCATAGGGTAAGGATCCGGCACAGTGGCACCCAGAGAGTCAACAGTCCGGGCCATCTTGGCAGTCGGGCCAATGGTGTTTGAGAGGAGCTGGGTAGGTGAATCCGGAGTGTTAATCAAGCTCAGCTCAGGTGCATTTTCGGGAAGTAGTGAGAGAAGCTCAGTATGAAGTTTTGGTTATGTTGTTGTTGAGAGGTTATGACTTTGGTTGTGGTCGTGGTCGTGATGCCCGTGTTGCTTAGATTAATAAGCATTTTTTTTACGGAGATACGATGATCCGATGATCCGATGATCCGATGATCCGATAGCCCGGTTGCAGGAATCACCAAGAGGGAGCGTAGTCACGTGTGTAGAGTGGAGCGCTTTCGTGATGACAGGCTTATCGATCCCCCGCTAGTCGCGTCGGACTTTCTTTCATCGTCTGCAAACGTCAACTACGGAGTGTTCGATCAAAGCCAACATCGGTACCAGACCTTACGACGCTGCTTTCGATCTCTTCTGTACCACTACACCTGACTTGACCTCAGCCGTCCCTTGTACGCACCCTCTCCCAGTTTGGCGGCGACAGCGTCACTCTACCCACCACCATCAGCCGGGCGCCTGCAAGTATCGCCCAATATGTCCCACCCCAACTTGCATTCCCCGGAAATAACACGCCAGATCGAGGTGCTCGAGGACGAAATCGCTTTCCAGAACGTTCTATTTGCATCAATCGACGACAACGTCCAAGATCGCGAGCAGGCCGAACAAGACATCCGGGATGAGATCTGCTCTCTAGAGCGCCAGTTAAAAGACCTTAAACGCTGTACCAGCGCTGCTACTATTACGACAGCCTCGAATTATCCTTCTTCCCAAAACTCCTCGCAGAGCTTCCAGGCAGCCTTTTCCAGCTCTTCGAGAAAGAATAACGCGATCAGCAACCTCGACGGCGGTGTCGACGGAGAGCCTGCCGGAGAGATGAACGGCTACTTGGGTAAGTCTACGCCCAAAGTGCTTTGATTTTTCATAAATGCATACAGCCGAAAAATCAAACTTGCACTCTATCGAAACTGCTACTCTTTGGTCGATCGTTCGTGGCTTTGCTGACTCCATGACAGGTCAAGGTCAAGATCAGTGGCGCCCTCTGGCCTCGCACTCGTTGACACCCTCAACCCCGGGCTCTGATCCGCTCGGGAACCCCCTCCTCACCCCTTCGCATACGAAATTGTCTGCTCGAAAACGCTCCCATAGCAAGTACCTCGACGACCAGCTCGCCCCGGTCGAAGGTAACAAGTCCAGACGGACATCACAAAGCCCTTTTGGCACTGGTCCTCCCACCCCATCTACAATCAGTTCAGGGTAGGAAACCTTATGTGGAATTGAGTGACGGCTACTTCGGCCTCACTCTTGTCAAATAATTCCCTGCACATATCTCTTTTCGCTCGAGTGGCACCGCTCGATTTTATTACTGTGGACAATGGACTGATACATAAATTTAGTGAAGATAGTTTTAGTGCTTGGCAACGCAAGCAGAACGATGAGGCCACGAGAATCAAGCGAGAGCGAGAGGATGCTGAGTTAGCTCGTATTATTCAAGAAAGCCTAGACAACCTGTCTACGTCGTCAATGCAACCACCTGCTCGTTCGGATCGCTCGGCTTTCGATCGACTTTCCGGAGCGCATCAACTATCCTCTAGCTCGGGCAGCCCTTACTCATCCAGTCTTTCTCAACAAGGATCAACGTACAGTGGCCCTTCTAGATCTATGACCCCTGGTACCAAGCGGGAGGTACCACGAAGTTCGATGTCCGGACTCAGTTCTTATGCATCTTCAAACCCTCCCAGTGGCTTCACGAGAAAGACACCTGCAGACCCTTCCTACACTTCGTCTGCCTTCAAGAGCGAGCGTCCCTCACGTCCCATTCCAGGTTCCTATCAAGACGACTCTTCCAATGCCAGTGATTCTGACATTGAGATCATACCAGCATCGGCGTTCCGTGCCAATGGGCGCAGCTCCCGCCCGACCGGAAATATGGCAAACTCTTACACTTTGCCTTCGCCTTTACCAAAGTCCAAGCCTCTGGGTTTTGGCAACAGTGCTGCAGATGTCCAGTTTTTGAGGCAACAGGCTGCATCTACATCTAATGACACGTTACAAAGAGCCATGTTTGGCACTCATCCGAAGCCTCAATGGATGAATGCTGTGCAGCCCAGCATGGGCGGCGGTAATATGCTGTCAAAGAACGAGATTTCCAGTGCTTATTCAATGAACGATATTCCGGTTTATCAAAGTCACGGCTCCATGGCTATGGCTGGTTCACCCCCACATTCCAATTTTTTCGAAGACATTATCACTCGTGGCGGTGATAGCATCAACGCAGTCTCGGCATACCTAGGACTCAACGATCATATGCTGGACCAGCTGGGCTATATCATGAACGACCCTCGGAAGAACGCCGAAGAAATCAAGAATTTGCTGGAAAATATCCGCCCGGATGAGGAGGTCGCTCCGGAAGATAGGGAAGGCACCCCTGAAGGCCTTGTCTACCCTCTATATGAGCATCAGAAGATCGCCCTGGGCTGGCTGAAAAATATGGAGGTTGGCAACAACAAAGGCGGAATCCTTGCAGATGGTACGTTGGGCTCTCGCAAATGACCTATAAGTATGATCTGGACACATAGCTGACTATCTTTTTTAGATATGGGCCTGGGCAAGACCATCTCTGCACTTGCACTCATTCTCTCTCGTCCTTCCTCGGATCCAGCCCGTAAGACCACTCTTATCGTTGGACCAGTTGCTCTCGTTCGTCAGTGGGGCCGAGAATTCAGAAGCAAGATTCTGCCAGGCTACCGGCTGAGCGTGTTCATGGCGCACGGGACCACCAAATCTCTCAACTGGGATGAAATTCGGACCTACGATGTCGTCTTGACCACAGTATGCATGCCACTCCTTTCTCCGCAAATTCTCTTGGTTTTTTTCGTGTACCCGAGACATGTCTAGAGGGTCAGATCCTCAGCCAAAGTTTCATATTCATAAACCCTACCAAATATAGCGCTAACCTTGACCTAGTATGGGAAACTCGGTCACGAGTACAAGCGTCTCCAAAAATTCCGTGACAACCACAAATTGAACGGCGGCATGGCCGACCACAACGCCATGAAGAAAGACTTTCCTTTCCTTGGCCCAAAGAGCAAGTTCTATAGAGTCATCCTCGACGAAGCCCAGTGTATCAAGAACAAGAGCACCCACGCCGCTAGAGGATGCTGTTCTATTGCAGCTAGATACAGATTCTGTCTCACCGGTACACCTATGATGAACAATGTCCAAGAGCTGTACTCTTTGATCAACTTCCTCAGAATTGGGCCCTACGACGAATGGACCCGGTTCAACTCAACCTTCGGCATCTTAACAAAAGCTGACAAAAAGTCAAAGCAATCTGTTCTGGAGAGAGATCTCAAGAACGCCATGACGAAGCTCCAGGCGCTTCTGAAGGCAATCTTGCTTCGACGCACCAAGAAGACGGAGATCGATGGTAAGCCTATCATCACTCTGCCACCCAAGACAGAAGAGATTCAACATGTCGTCTTCGATGAGGATGAGCAGGCATTCTATACCGCTCTCGAATGCAAAACCCAAACCCAGTTCAACAAGTTCGTGAAGGCTGGGACAGTCACCAAGAACTACGCCAACGTGTTGGTTTTGCTTCTCCGCCTTAGACAGGCTAGTTGCCACCCGCATCTAATCCAGGATTTCGAGCAAGCCCCTGTGTCCGCTTCTGATGTTACGTTAGAGACAATGAGGGAATTGGCGCGAGGCTTGAAGCCAGACGTCATCGCTCGATTGTTGGATTCCAACGATATATTTGAGTGCCCTGTCTGCTATGATCCTGCCTCGAACCCCAAGATCATCACGCCATGCGGCCACGATACCTGCTCTGAATGCTTAGCTAAGATTACAGATCAAGCTGTCCAGCAGAACGTTGCAGCTGGCAACGATGCAGGTGGCAATGCAAAGTGCCCTACTTGTCGCGGCGATCTTTTCAAGGAAAAAGTCATTGATTACTCAGCTTTCAAGGAGGTCCACAAGCCAGCGATCGAAAGTACAGATGATTTTGAAACGGCCAGTGACGACAGCGATGATGATAGCGAATACGACAACGAAAGTGACAGCGACACAGCTTCGGAAAAGGATGCAGATGCTCGAGGCAATTTGAAAGGTTTCGTTGTGTCTGATGATCAGGACGAAGAGGTCGACGACGATGAAACTGCTTCCGAAGATGACGATGGGCCGGAAGTGATGGTTGAAAAATCCCAGTCCAAGTCCAACGATACAGGCAAGGGCAAAGAGAAGGAGCAGAAACATAAGCAACTAAAGAAGTCGAAGGGCAAAGACAAGGGCAAGCAGCCTGGGAAAAAGCAGCATATATCGATCGCGATGTTGAAGAAGGAGGCTTCCAAGTCAGCAGCGGGACGACGCCGCTACATGAAGTACCTTCGAAAGCACTGGGTGCCATCCGCCAAGACGACCAAGTGTGTTGAATTACTCGATCAATTTCAAGCCGATGGTCAGAAGACAATCATCTTCAGCCAGTTTGTCTCCCTTCTCGATTTGCTGCAAGTACCGATCGATGAAAAGGGATGGAAGTGTTTACGTTACGATGGCTCTATGTCCGCCGACGCTCGAAAGTAAGTTTAAAGAATCTGATCATGAGACGTGGCTTCGTCTTTCCAGCATTGGCTAACTCCTGCGTGATATAGCAACGCTGTGAACCAGTTCTGTGACAGTCGGGATTACAATATCATGCTGATATCTCTCAAGGCTGGTAACGCTGGTCTTAATCTGGTCGCCGCTTCTCGGGTGATCATTCTGGACCCTTTTTGGAACCCCTACATCGAGATGCAAGCTGTCGACCGAGCGTATCGTATCGGACAGCAGCACTCTGTTGAGGTTCATCGCATCTTGGTGGAGGGAACCGTGGAGGACCGTATCATTGATCTCCAAAATCGTAAGAAAGAATTGGTCGAAAGTGCTCTAGACGAAAACGCTGCCAAGTCCGTCAGTCGTCTCGGTGTCGCAGAGCTTGCGTTCTTGTTCAATGGCTAGATCTGGCGTTTGTGGCTCTGTATCTTTTGCAATTTCATGAGAGGATGAGGTTGGGTGCCAAGTTGTTCGTATTTTGCTGCCCGCAGCCGGCTCCGCTGAACTCCCGAAACACACCCTTTCTTTTGGGGACTTTTTGGGCGGCATTCCATTCGGAACGGGCGGTTGGCTGATATTCGGAATGATACCCAGAGGTGGCGTTACTGGCTTGGGCATTGGGCATTGCGCTGTGGCATCACTGATAGCCCGCCATCGCTCGCGACCCTGTGCTTTGGCGGGTATCAACAGCAAGAGCGTACTGTGCGTCGGACTGTATGGAGTAAATTTCCAGCAAGTATGTAGGTTGCCACAAATGCAATTGACTGGCTGACATGTAAATTTCAATCAATGCGCTGGCATCCAAAGTATTCAGTCGTCGTCTCAGAAGTCACCCTTGAGCAGAGATGCATTAATCATGCTATATACTATTTAAAACATCTAGCTCGCTGTTCAATGTTTATATGAGATTTTGATCGATCGAATCGATCCAACAAGCTCCAGCAGGTCAGTAACGAACTAACCCGCCCAGATATATCTCTCTCTACTCATGTTCTAGATCTTCTAACACGACTAACACGACACGAACAGCCTCTTGGACTGAGTGTTAGTCCCAATTGCGACGCGTCGATTCCGCTCACGCCTCCAGTCGTGTGGTAAGCTGGTCACGCTGAAGCCTTTAACCTGATGCCCGACCGAGTTGGATCCTAGCGTGGTTCTTATCTCGACGACATAGCTTACTTCTTCTCCGGCATTTCTTTCTCTTTCTTCTCTGAGTCTCTTTGGAGAGAGATCCCCGGTTCCCGTATCCACGGCGCCGACGACGACGTTTCTGCAAGTCGATTTTGATAGCATCCATCCTCCATTTTCACAGCCCCGTTCCTTATCAACTGAGGTAAAGACATGCAAGACACCACGTTGAAAGCGAATGGTACGCATATCGCTAAGCTTACCGGCATCCTCGATCATGCAAATGGCCCCTCTAAAAAATAGCCGAGATGGTGGTAGTACCGGTACAACTCACATTGCGAAATCGTACCTGCTCCTTCCTGTTCCTCTCTTACCGATCCACAGTACAGACTCCGATCCGCTTCGCTTCCATTTTGGTATTCTGTTTTTATCTGCCGCGTTTGCTTTCTGTCGCTCTGATTGCACATCAGTTCTCTCACTCTCATAACCTTCCAGATATCGGAGTGATTCTCGTGCATGCGTGCTTATTTGCTATTTGTTTTCCTCGCTTAGTAGTGAAAGTGAGAGGGAGGAAAGGAGGGTTATAGTCATCGTTGTTTTGTCGCGTCAGGCTTATAGAAGACGGTAAACAAATTCAAGTATCGCAGGCTCCTCCGAGGAAGAGAGAAAGGAATTGAGGTTTGGGATCTTATCGTGCACGTACTTGCAATTTCCGACGGGGCCGGGGACATGACAATACTTAGTACGGAGAAATAAGGGGGTGAGGGGGGTGGGAGCGAAGCGAGAAGACATGGAAGCCCCTGCTTTTCCCGGCTCCCCGGTTTCAAGCTCATCAATATCAAACTCAATCTCTATCTCAATCTCAAGTTTCAAAATTTCAAAAATAATAACAAGAGCAAAAAACAACAACAACAAGAATCCTCTTGATCGGCCATAACACTCTTTCTTTACAACACAGCCCACACACACACACACACACACACACTCTCTCTCTCTC